ATTATTATTATTATTATTATTATTATCATTATTAACACATTTATTTCATTTTCGATTTTTAACAGATACTCAAGATGCGTATTATTCACTACTGTCTTATCATATTAATCAAACTCATTATCATCCCATATTCTGGTTGGGACGAAGAGGTATTCCAGAGCGGTAAACCCATCCCTGCTGTCAAATGGACCACAGTCTTCAGAAACGCTAGCGGTATTTTAAGGAATCTTTCTTCAGCTGGAGTAGATGCAAGAAAAGAAATGCGTGCTTGTGAAGGACTTGTGGACTCTCTGGTGTGGATCATTTATGCCCCAGTAGCAAAAACGGACGTGGACAATAAGGTACCTAGCATAAACTCTCTAACTTTCTAACTTTAGGGATGCGTAGAAAATGGGAACGGTTAGACTTTTTAAGCCCTACCAAATTACGGCTGGTTGAAAGATTTCAATTTATACCACAAGCCTTAATGTGTAAGGTCAAATTAATGGTCCAAAATGAAGACCCGATTTTAAATACACCCTTTTCTCTCAKAGACCTTTCTGAGATGCTCAATAATGAATGCCAATTGCGACTATTTCCTTACAAATACATTGAGAAGCATACACGTAAAGATACAGTACGTTCAATTCAGTGATCGAATTGACTTTCGTTTCAGAGATGCTTGAGGACAAAATCCAGGATTTCACTCACAGAGGTAGTGGGTCCGCATAACCCCACCCCTCCCCTCTAAATCACGTTATTTAATCATCCCTAATGCTCACTAAGTCTATTCGTACATGTGATATTTTCTTCCAATATTTAGTCCATAGAGAATTCGGTTTGCACTCTTCGTAACTTGTCCTACCGCCTTGAGGACGAAATAGACAGGGAACGCTACGAAGACGCCCCACCACCCCCTCCCCCCTCAGAAATACAGAAATCTTCGCAGCCTGGCTGTATCGCTGCATGTGGGACTAAAAAAAGCAAACAAGTCAAAGAACCTGAAGAAAGCCGACGCCCTGCGAAGGGTGTGGAGTTGCTATGGCAACCGGAGATTGTCAAGCCTTATCTGTCAATCATGGCGGAAGCTTCCAATCCTGACACGATAGAGGGCGTGGCAGGTGCACTACATAACTTGATGGCCTGCAATTGGAAGGTAAAGAATATAGACATTTTTGGTACTTAGCTGGTAGCTCTCATTTTTACGAACTTTGAATATATTCGTCTCAGAGTTCTATAATATTAATGAGTATAAATGTTAAATCACCCTGCTTAATTTGATACCTCCCACCCCCCTCAGTTTTAATGGCAACAGCTGGTGCCTCCCCCAGGGTTCTCATTGATTACAGTGTCCTTGAGGCTACTAAAAAGTGTATCATTCTTGAATAAAGGTTTTCATTATCACCCCCCCCCCCTCTCCCCGAAAATCCACATAGCCCCCAAACCCATAAATCACGATTTGTCGGATCGTAATAGCTTTCTCCGTATTCGTGAAAAAAAGATTAATTCATTTTGAACTCCACGAATTTAAGAATGAATGGAGAAATAGAAAACGCGTGCGCATGCTGTGTGTAGGTATAAAGCACGCGGGAATTTGCAGAACGCAAGAGAATTTAATTTCTTTCACAGGGGGGGTGGGGGGGGCACTTATTTTCCATCGTTATTTTATTTACCGCTGTACATAATATGGGTAAGCTTGAACCCGCGTCACGGTTCCAGTTGCTTGGCGGGTTAAAGCTCATCATTTTATGTACAACGGCAAATAATATAACAATGGAAGATAAGTGTCCCCCTCTGCCCCCTGTTTTTCTTTCATAAAAAGCAAATCAGAATAACCGTTATTTTGGATACGAATGGCGAAATAGAAATTGCGCTCCCATCCATTCATAGCAGGTATTTTATTATATCTGATTCTGTCTTTTTCTCTCTGTAGTGGGCGATCATCATAAGATCAGCCGTACGAAAAGATAAAGGCCTTCCAATCATGGTGGAACTACTTAGAGTTGAACACGATCCCGTGGTACGAGCCACCGCCACGTGTTTGAGGAACCTTGCTATAGACCCAAGGAATAAAGAACTAATAGGTAAGACACCAATGTAGCTTAGTTACTTGTACATCGCAGTCTCTCACGTCTGCATGAGGTCTCTGGGTGAATTGCCCTATTTCACTATGACGTCACATCAAAACAATCTATTGTTTAAACGCAAAGGATCATGGTCGTCGGAGGGGGTCAAATCAGCACAAATTCCCAAAAAATTGTTCTAAAACCTGTATCAATCCACGAAGAGAAGTAGAATAGCCAGCAAACGCTCAGAATATTATATAATATTATATCTGAAAACCAGGCCATTTTAGATTAAACTGTTTCACTAGGAGCAAATTCTGTTGAATTTTCTATTGGATTTGGCGATTCTATCCCCCACATAAACAAGCAGAGACGTCGTAGTGAATTAGGGCAATTCCTGGACTCTGCATCTCTTGTGAGTAGAGTTTGTTGAGCCTCTCCCTTGTAAAGGTCCCTTTTCTYATTCGGTAAATACCGCTGTCTCTAATGACTGATGACTCATCTACACAGGCTTTGCCTCGTTTGAGAACAATTTTTGTTGTTGCGAAAATCAACTGTAATGTAAAGAATGTTTAAGTTGAACAATACCAATGTTTTGAAATTTCACGGGCTTTTAATGGTGTCTTTGAATAGATGACTTATAAACGAGGTAAGCCTGTGCAAATGAGTCTGTAGTCTTCCAATAAAGCGGTATGCTTCGAATGCGAAACTGTAAGTAAGCTGTGCCCTAATGCAGTTTTAGGCGGTTTTTCATTGACATTGTTTTCTTTATTGTATTGCAGCAAAGTTCGCAATGAAAGATCTCGTTCGTCGATTACCTGATCCTAAGAATGAAGACGAGATCCAGTACGACAGCACCACGGTTGGACCTTTATTATGTGCTATTCATCAAGTCATTAATAACAGTCTGCCTAATGGAAAGTATGTCAAATCAATCATTATACTTAGCTTTTTATTTATTTATTGTTTTCTTAACAGTTATCAATACTTACTTAATAGTCCCCTTCACAATTCCTGGCGCCATCTTGAAAGGTAGCCGTGCCTTTGCATCGAAGCGAGACGAACGGGGAGCTTGCAATGATAGAGACCTTTTTTAACACCTTGGACAATTATTCACATGTCTCTATCATTGCAAACYCACCGTTCGTCTCGCTCCAATGCACAGGCACGGCTACCTTTCAAGATGGCGCAGGGAACTGCAAAAAGGACTATTGATAAAGTGCATACAAATACATATAGTATCTTTCAAAAACCTTGGAAGAAATTGTCAAAATTTGCACAAATAGATCTCTTCGGCTTGGGGTAATGTTTTCCAATTCCAGACCACGTGTCATTCCCTTGAGAATAAGATTCTTTGTTTGAGCTGTATCCATATTCATGTGTCTTCTCATGTGCAACCGAGCGCAAACCTTAAACAAAGAAATGATACTCTAGGGAATGACATGCGGTCTGAAATGGGAAAACATTACGTCAGAGCCGAGGAGGTCTATTATCAAGTTTGGTAGACCTCAGTAGACCGTAGGCCTACAAAACTTGGGTTAACTTTTTCACGGATRTATGGTATGCGATCTACTACTTAAAAAGTCATTTAGACGGAGCCTAACGTAAGGTTAGGGTTGTAGGTTAGGGTTGAGAGTGAATGTTAAGGAGGAATGGTGCAGAGATAGGAAGGATAGAGATACGAGAAAAGAGGAATTGAAATATAAAGACATTTGTATTCTGATTTATTCCAGGCACTGTCGTGACAAAGATGGTTTTAGGAGAATTGTTGCAATTGCCAAAAGCAAAGATAAATATCCTGAAAAGGTCGTGAAGACTGCAAACCAGGTAGGTTTGAAACGCGAAAGTCCCAGGGCGAGCACACGCGTCTTGCGCAAATTCTTCCCGCCAAATCTACAGAAACGCATTTGAAATGAAATTGAAATTAAATTWAAAATGCATTTGATATTTTTTTAATTCGATATTTGCGCACTATAAATTAATTTTCTATCGATCTTCTAGAAACCCCTCCAGCATAAGTCGTGGGGAATTTTTTGTTTGTTTGTTTGTTGTTGTTGTTGTTGTTTTTGTTTGTCTTTTTTTGTGTGCAAACTCGACATGGAACAACAATTGAATCAAATAGATATTGCGCACGCGCGTGCTGTGTGCCGTTATAAAGCATTCGGGTATTGGAAGAACATTAGAGAAGTGTTAGGAGAGGCACGGCTGGTAGCGGTAGAATTGAAGAAACAGAAAATGCGACGCGTGCTGTGTGCAGCTATAAAGCACGCGGAAGAATAAGAAGTGTTAGGAGAAGGACGACGCGAAGTGAAAAAAAAAATTTAAGTGAAGTCCATGCTTTGGTCTAATCTCTGATTTGATTCTTAGGTGCTTATGGCGCTGTGGGCTTTTACTGCATTAAGAAATTCCATAAAGAAAGAAGGCTGGGAACTAAACAAGGAGATAACTGATGAATTCGGACTAACTCCGGCCGCTCCTCGTGCTTTCGACGACGTATCACTGCCAAGAAATTCCCAACGAAGGAAAAACCGAATACCCGAGACAGTACGAGCAGACGAATCGTCTCTACCCGAACCACATCTTCAAACAGACTCTCCCCGAAGAATAACCGAAGATGGTTACGAAGCTGATGATGATAAGAATCGTAACCGACCTGCACCGAAAGGGTCACAAGAAGAGATAGAAATGCAGGACCTTCAAGGAAGCCGATCCCCGCCTGCTTATGAGAGTGATACAGGGAGAGAAGAGCCACCCTATGCATCGGTGGATAAGAGTAAAAAAATGAAAGTTAAGGGAGGTTCTAACAGCGATTCTTGGGTTTGAAAATTTGGTTGAAAATAGCCAGCTTTATAACTCGCTTTGCCATCGTGGAAAAATTCTATATATCGGCATGACGGATATGACGGAAGACACTCGATTTTAATGCAAAAAACAAAACAAAAAAATCCCTGCTGTTTGAACTYTTAAAAAGCAGAATGAATCGTTAAAAGTGCGGCGAATTTCAAAGTGTGCCCTAAAAAAAGTAAAAATTGGACTAAAGTAAGTATTCAAAAGTGTCTAATTTTCGAAGCCTAAAATTCTTGGAAAACAATCTCTATGAGAATAGGTATGCTGTGTCGGTTTTCACTTTTCTTAGGTTTCTTTACATGAAGCAAATTTTTTTGGATTTCTCCGGGACGAGTTTAGAACACTAAAGAGTTATTCAATGCATAAGTTGGTTGGTCAGTAGCCCTCTACTTATGAGTGTTTCCAGTAGAAATGTTTCTGTCGTCCTTACATTTTTGTTGTGGATTGCTTTCATCTCTAAAACAGACCTTTTTAAGCAAATTTCTCTTCTTCTAGAAACTAAGGACTAATTGTTTTTTTTATTATTATTAAAGTAAATAAGATTCGGGACATGTATGGCTACCGACGGTTAATATATCGGCTAGAATGTGACTTAAAACACTACTGGGGTCCTCGGGTTTATTGATCTTGAGCTAGGTTTGATCAACAATTTCTGATTGGTCGACTGTTCAGAAATGAGACTAATAGACCCAATCACTGTTTTGAATTTCAGATCACGTGTCATTCTCTTGACAATAAGATTGTTTGGGTTGTATCGATATTCATGTGCCTTCTCATGAGCTACCGTTAAACAAAGAAATGATACTCTAGGGAATGACACATGGTCTTGGGAATAAGATTATTTGTTTGGGTTGTATCGATATTCATGTGTCTTCTCATGAGCTACCGTTAAACAAAGAAATGATACTCTAGGGAATGACACGTGGTCTTGAGAATAAGATTCTTTGTTTGAGTTGATCCATATTCATGTGTCTTCTCATGTTTAACTGTTAAACAAAGAAATGCTACTCTAGGGAATGACACATGGTCTTGAAAATAAGATTCTTTGTTAGAGTTGTATCCATATTCATGTGTCTTCTCATGTGCAACTGTTAAACAAAGAAATGATACTCTAGGGAATGACACGTGGTCTGGTTTCCCATGGTTTCCTATTGTACCGAAGCGAAAGAGGAGGATGGGATTTCCGATAATAGACAATAAAGTGTGTTTAATTTGACTAACTAATCAATCATAGTTGTTTCATAAACACCAAAAGTGTAGATAAGTCGTTTTCTAATTTTTCCAAAACAAAGTTTGCATAAATAGCCATAAGATTTAAGAGAATATTAAATGGTAATTTTTGAATTATTTTATTATTATGATCATGTTTACGTCTTAGATATTATTTGTTTGGGCTTACAGCAGAATGGGTGGCTTAACCGAATCCGTACCTTGTGTTTTAACTCAATCCCAAGGGCTTGGAGCCCAGGCTAGATCCCTGCTTGTCAACTGTGTTGATGTCTTGTGCTTACAAGCTTACTATTATTAATCAAGCAGGTTACTGAGGAACAAAGGTGTGGAACTCGCTGTAAGTTGTTATTGATGGTTTTCACGGCGGCCATGTTGGAGGAACTTAACAAAAGAATTGTCAATGAATTCTTTTGTTATATCMTCCAACATGGCCGCCGTGTCTTTTGTTATTTAATTCTCTTAGGAATGGTTGAAAACCATCAATTGCTCTTGTTTAACGCTCGCTCACGATAACCCAATATTACCCACTTTTTTCCCCCACATCTCCCCCATTCCTATTCCCATTCCATCCCATTACTATTCCATTCTATTACTTGAACTGCTTGTATCTGATTTAGAATTTTCTGATTCATATACGAGCAGTTCAAGTATTATTATGAACCCTGACTTCATTTATAGTACTATTCCTCTTATTCCATTCCATTCTATAGGACATAAATAAAAGAGCTATTTTTGTTATGAAAGTGAAAATGGGCCATAAGTACATTTTGTACCCTTAGCAGCAGTAAGGGGGACTCGCGGTGGATGTCGAAGATTTACGGGTTTTACGGGCGGTTTGAGGAATGGTCCGGCACGGGAAATACCCGTGTCTCGTTATTTGTTGCTGCTATGTTGGGAATATTTGTCTTATATATGCATGAATGTAAAAAGTTCACCAATGACTTCTGTAT